GGTGCGTCGGTGCGTGCCCGGGATCCGAACCTGGGCCGCCAGTAACAGAGTGCACGCACTTAACCGCTAAGCCAGGGGACCGGCCTGCCAATCTTCCTCTTTTTGCTGAGGAAGACTGGCTCTGAGCTAACATGTGGGCCCATCTTCCTCCTCTATTTTGTATGTGGGATGCCGCCCAGCAGGGCATGACAAGTGGTGCATTGGTCTGTGCCCGGGATTCAAACCTGCGAACCCTAGGCCACCGAAGGGGAGTGCGTGAACCCAACCACCATGCCACTGGGCCGGCTCCCTTCACATATATTTTTATTTCAGGTTTTTCTGAACCCATAAACCCACTAATAACATCAAATGTTCCTCTTGGTCTTTTCTTGAGCTTGAGCAGAAAAACAGAAAGGAAAAAAAGTGAACTTCTTTACGTCTTCCACTTCTGTTTCCATTTTATTACTAGTAGCTAAAAACTTGTAGGAAATTTCAAAAAGGCTATGTGCCTGCTTCAGGGATTCATTCATTCAACAATATTTATTGAAGGTCTATTATGTGCTAGGCACAGCTCTGGATACCACGGATTCAACACAAAGTCGTGCTCTCCTATTTTAGCATCATAAGAAAGGAAGAAAAAACTCAGACTGTGCTGTCCCATGGTGTGGTACAAAAGAGAGAACACTCCTGGTCAGAAACAACACAGAGCAGCAAGGAAAGGAAGTAGGAAGATCAACCCCTCAGGCTGGCAATCAGGGAACGGCACAGTGTTTTTCCAAATTATGCTAACAAAAGGGGTTCTACACTCACATCTGGGGTCCCATCCTAAATCTAAAGCTCCCATTCCTGCTTCATTCATTAAGCTGTCATTCACCACAGAAGGACAGAGTTGGCAGAATTTACATTATCACTGCCTTGCAGTTAATACTGCTGGTGGAGTGGTTAAGCAGGAAACATTCCTGATTCCACTTTAGCAGGGTACGGGGTGAGGATAGAAAATATATTCCCTGGAAGCTCAAGCTTAACTTGAGAACTATGTTTTTATTGAAAGACTGAGCATCGATTCTGGATCCTTCAGAGAACATTAGAGCTAAGAGGGAACTATGAGATCACCTATTCTAACCTCTTCATTTTACAGAGGAAAGTGAGGCTCAGAGAGGTTAAGTGAGAGTTAGTGGCAGAGCCTAAATACTGTTGTTGGTCACAAAGGTTAGGTTTAACAGTATCATTAGTGCATTTGTATACGTTAAGAGGCATTTGTGGTGTGGCCTGGGGACTGAAACACCAATCACAAGTTTTTTCTATGGAAAAATATACTTCGAGTTTGAAAATAAGCAAACACAATACATACAAACCTTTAGAACACAGCTTCTTCCTAAGTTGGGACCTACCTGGAACTAAAGTTTTTCATAAAACTTTGATAAGCTATTGTTAACATAGCGTAACAGGTAGATGGACTTAAACTAAAATTATTTCCTGTATATACACCTTAAAAATACCTGTATATAAGCCTTAAAAAGAAATACTTCCCCAACTGGAGCAGTTTTGAATTGCTGCAAAATGGCAACATGCTAGACCTAAAACCTTTGAAACTAAGGAGACGCTGTGTCCCTGTGAACAATGTTACCTTACACAGAAGCACAAAAATAAAGGATTAGTTGGGTCTATTAAGCTTGAAGAAAAAGGAAGAGTGGAAAATAAAATTTGAACTAAAGCAAATGACAATTTTCTTTCCAGAATACAAGAGAAAGCAGTATCTGAAGGGCAGGAAGCTCAGCTGGTGACAAAACCACCAGTAGCAGCACCCAGTACCTGTGTTGCAAGTATCCTTCATCAGTCGGCACCGATCTTTGACGGAAGATGCACTTCTTCCTAGCGCCGCCCCTATTGTTGCCCAGTCATTGCCATGCTTTATCCGGAGCCTAAAACAAGAGTCTGCCAATCAGCATTGGGTTCAACTGTTTCCTCCCTTTTAATTTCATCATTTATTCTTCATTCTTCTTCTTCCCATTTGACTGGTTTGGAAGTTGTGGGCAGCAATACTTTGAGAGCCAAAGTTTGAAAGTGTGGCCTTTTTTTGGGGTCCACAGTTGTCTGTGGGTGAAAAAAAAACAGGCAGCAATTGCCTTTTTCCTGGGTCAGAGAAGAAATAAGTAACTTGGATATGTGTTCAAAAAAGACCAAATTTCCCCTCAGGTTATTGACACAATCTCCCAGGCAATCCCCAGATTTTTCCCTTTTGAGTATTCTTAACAAGCTCTGCTCAGGCATCTAAAAAGTTTCACAGATCCTTATCATCATAAACAGGATCAACCTTCAATTTTTTTCATGATCCATACGATCCATTAATCCATACTTAATGGCCCTAACTCATGAAGCAACATTGTTTCCTGTGAAATAGCCATTATAAGGTAGAGTCAGCCCAGACATTAAGTGAAACATTGCCAAGTCACCATTCTAAACTAAGCCATGTAGTACAACTCTGGTTTTGATCCTGGTATATAAGTTCCCCAAATTTAGTCTTCAGGCCACCAAGAATGGCCATCTAATCTCTTCTGTAGCCCCTATTAATGGTCGAAGGATGCATTTCATTTGGTAACTGACAACAGGAGGAGACTAAATTTATTGGCATGGCTACTCTGTGCAGGTATGGATCTGATAAGTTCTATTTATGGTCAATCATTCTTAGCAGCAGGATTAAATATTAGCAGTCTACCAAAAATGTCTTGACATTTTCAAAGTAAAACTTTTAAAAACATAAGACATTAAAAAAATTAAAACCCAACTATCAGAATTAATGAAAAAAAAATTTTTTAAACTTACTCCTTGAGCTTTTCAATTTCTTCAGGTGTATATCTAGAAATTTAAAAAATTTAAAAAAAGATCAATTAAAACAGAGAATGCTAAAAACCTTAATAAAAATCAGATTTTCACTTAGAGAGCCAAATGTTAAGTCACTTAGCATATTGATAATATTTTTAAAGTAACTAATTTTAGAGTAGATGAATAAAAATTAAAATTAATGCTTCTATTTTCTTCTTAAAACAAATATTTTTAGCTATAATAAAAGCAAGAACTGTACAATTTTCTCTAGGAAAATTCAACATTTAAAATGTATTTGCTCCTATGTTGCCTAATCTTTACTTCAAAGTTAGGTTCAGGCACTCTAATACAGCTATTCCGAAAGACTTGTAAATGACATTGTAAACTAGAGCTAAAAAAAAGAAAATCTATGGTAAATTCTGACAAGGCACTGAAAAACTTAAAATTCTCTTTGTCTACCTATGCATGGACATCTGACACACTCTTGCCTCAATATAAAGCCTTTTTTTTTACTGGGCATGTTTTCAATACAGCCAATGCAATGTTTTTTTAAGAAAAAGCAGTATCTAGTAAGCCATACTATTACCACCTAAAATTCCCAAAGAGAAATTAAAAATATGTCCATATAATCATTGCACTGAAAATGATTATACTACCATATAATCATTGCACTGAAAATATGATGCCTTCCCATAAATGTTACCTATAACAGAAATCCATGCATTGTATCCAGAAATTTAGTTGTTTTCCACTCTGGTTTTATTAAAAAAAAAAAAAAAAAAAGTCACTGACCTAGGAAATGCTATACTATAAAAACGAGTAAGAAAAATGTTATGTAGAGATCTTCCCACACTTCCTAAATCTTTAACCACTATTACACTTTTTATAATGTTACTTTATTACAAAGCAGACTTTGATGTATTAAGTCAGCTAGGTCTTAAATCTAACCTATATAAGGTGATTTAGATTCTAATTTCTAAAAGAGGCCTTATTATAATGAGGTTTCACCATATTCACAACATGGACCTGGAGAAAAAAATATTAACAGTAATTCATAGCTGTCTCTAATTAAGGCTTTGATTATAACTCTATTTAAAAAAAGGATAGTTCCTTAAATATTTCCCCTAATTACATGAAAACATGCAGCATTACAAGTTTTCATACTTTCCCACATGGTTTCTGTCATCATACATGCGAAGCACTCTTCTATAAACTGCAAACAAAGGCCGGTTCAGACCCCATGCTATAGTCCTGTAGAAATCTTTTCTTTCGTCTTTTGACATCTCAAAGATGATTTCTGTAGCATCTTTTATTCCGCGTGCCTAAATGGGTTACATTTCTTTGATTTAGGGATTTCTGATAAAATGCATATGGATATACTATGCTTTTTAAAAGTTTTTTTTTATGTTATAGATCACCAATGGCATTTAGAAAAATAATGTATTGCTAATTCATTAATAAGTCAATTATAAACTTTAAAATTTATAAGAGATAATAAAGTGATACTTAAATGTTCCAAAAATAAATGGTATTAAATTCGATAAAGTTCTGTCAACCCCTTTTAAAATTATAAAAAATTAAAATCTAAAGAAAGTAGAAGAAAATCATAAGAACAAAGTTAATGGAATCAGGAATCAAGAAAGAACAGAAAGGATAAGGAATGCTAAAAATTGGTTCTTTGAAAAGATCCATTAAGACTAATAAAATATGAAAAGATAAACTTATGGCAAAATGAAAAACAAACCAAAAAAAGGAATATTGGAAATGAAAAATGAGGCCTAAGTAGAAATGCTACAGAGATTAGACAGTTGAACATTATGAAAATTTTATGGCAATAAATTTCAAAACTTAGATAAAATGAATAAATTCCTAGAAAAAGTCAACTTACCAAAACTGACTCAGGAAGAGATAGAAAATCTAATAAGCACAGACCATCAAGAAAATTTAATCAGTTATTAATAATTTTCCCACAATGAAAACACCAGGACCAGATGACTTTATAGGTAAATCCTACCAAACAATCAAGAGAAACATAATTCTGATTTTAAACTATTCTAGAGGAAAGAAAAAAGGGGGGACACTTCCTCATTCATTTTATTAGGCTAGCATAACCTCAATAGCAAAATCAGACAAGAACTGTTTCAGAAAAGAATTTTTAGGCCAAGCTCATTCATTAACATAGATCCCCCAAATCCTTAAACTATTTTAGAACACTGAACCCAGCAATGTATAAAAAGGTTAATAATCAATGCAAAGAGTGAGCTTATTCCAGGAATACAAGTTTGTGTTAATTTCAGAAAAATTATTACTGTAATTAATTGTATGAGTAGATTTTTGGGAAAAAACCGTAAAATCTCAGTAGGTGTGGAAAGAGCATTCATAAAATTCAACATTCATATATAACACTCCTAGCGAGTTAGGATTTGCTGATAAGCTGATAAAAGAAAAATATATAAAAAGTATAAAGATTAGAAAAATCATTTACAGATGTTATATATGTAGCAACCCAGAAATTTATGAACCAACTATCTGATTTACAAGAGTATTTATTTAGCAAGGCTGCTGGTTACAAAATCAATATATAAAGTCACTGGCATTTCTATACAAAGCTCATAAAAATCTTTAAAAGTTCTCATTTACAATAGCGTCAAAATTAAAAGCATTATGACTAAATCTTCGGAAAGTTATGCAAGTCCTTTATGGAGGAAAACATAAAACTAAAAAAGACATTAAAGAGGAACTAACTAAAATGGAGAGCTATAAAATGTTCTTCAATAGCAAGATGGAATATTGTAAACATGTTAATTCCTCTCAAATTGATGTACAGTTTCAATGCAGTCCCAATAAAAATTTCAAGTTTTTTCCATTCTCTGCAAACTGATTCTAAATTTATAATGAAAGAAGAAAGGGCCAAGAAGAGCCAAGACATTCATGAAGAGACTTGCCCCATCAGATATTGGGACTTCTGAAGGCAGTGCTGTACCGATGCAGGTATCAACAAACAGAACCTAGGAACAAATTAGAAAACCTAGAAACAAATTTGTGGAAGCTTGATTTAGGACAGAATGGACATTGTAGACCGGAAAAAGATTGACATTTCATAATGCTGCTGGGATGACTGTCATCCACACAAAACAAAACTAAAAAACCCCAACAACATTGAAACCCTATCTCACAACCATAGGAAAAAAATCAGTGTGAAAGGCAAAACTGTAAAACTTTTATAGGACAATATATGACAATATCTTTATGCCCTTAAGGCAGAGCAGGATTTCTTAAATAAGCATGCGAAACATAAAAGTAAAAAGATGATTAATTTTTATATTGAAATTAAGAATCTCTCTTCATCAAAAGACACCTAGAAAGAAGGAAATGACAGGCCACTAAATTGGGACAAGGTATCTATAACACAAATAACAGAAAACCACTAGTCTCCAACATACCTTAAGAACATCTAGAAAAATGAAAAAGAAAATCCCATAGAAAAATTGATGAGAAGATACACCAACAGGAATTTCAAAGAGAAAACAAATGGCTAATAAGCATATAAAAATATGTAATCAGAGAAATACAAATTAAAGCCATAATAAAATACCATTCACACTCACACCAGATTTGTACAAATTAATAGCAAAAATCTAAACAGAACCCAAATGACCATTAACTATAGAATGGGTAACTTACAGTATATATATTTGCACAATGAAATACAGTTAAACATACCAACAGGGGATGGATCTCAAAACATAATATTGAACAAAAGAAGCCAGTTACAGAATACCCAGAGAATGAACTTATTTATATAAATTTCAAAAAAAGGTAAAATTACACTGATAGGCATTTGAATGGATGAAACTTCACAGTAAACAGTTTCTAAATTTTAGACTCTTTTCTAAAATTATGCAGTTTCAATTCCACAAATAATTAAACCTAAATATTGACAAGCTCCTATATGCAAGGCACTATGTTGTAGGATGACCATATAGTGAGATAAGAAAATTCTGCTTTTTTTTTTGTGCTTGTGGCAGTTACTTTCATTTATCTTTTTACCCAAAATATGGGATATGACATCTAATTAATTTGTTTAAAAATCGCTCCACAATGTTCTTGAAGAGCACCACATAATAAAAACCACGGTCAAAAATCAAAATCAAACAAATTATCTTTTTCCAGGATCAGTATATCTTTTCGGACATTTACTTTTTCTGCCAATCCTACCATCATTCTCCCAATCATCCAAAGTAAAAACTCTTAAGTGATTCCAACTCCTCATTTTCCTTCTTTCCCAAATCAAGTCATCACGCTTCCTTAGAGACTAGTTGCTTATCTGCCCTTTCCTTGCCAATTCTATTTCTACCACCGTAGTGAAAAGTTCTTATTACTCTCATCTGGTCAACCGAAACAGTCATCTAAAATATCTCCAATTTTAGTCACGTTCCAGCCCTTTAATCATAAAGTTGGCAGGGCCCTTGGAAATCATCTACTCCAATCCCACAGACAAGAAACCAGCTTCTTCATTCCCAAAGTTCAGTATTCTTACCACTCGTTACTGCTTTATCTAAACCTGTAGCATTTTTCCAGTTTTAACTAAAGTGTGTGTAACCAGTGGACAACTTCAACACACTTCTGGATACATTCTCAGTGATCACTGTATTTCTGTTTCTCTTATAACAATTAGCTTGGTGGGAAGGATCTTTATTCATTAATAAAGAATTAAAGTTATTTATTCTTTATACTTTACAAAGCTTAGTTTGGGAAGAGAGCAGCTTAAATTAAGCTTAAGAATGTGGACATTCTAGGCAGCAATGTATTTACAATAGTGAAAAATTATAAACAATCTAAGTATCAAACAATGTGGAATGGTTAAATAGAGACTGTACACCTCTCATTCCCAAACAACGCTAATGGTCTACATTTCTAACATGCACTATTTGACTCTAACTCCATTACGAGGATGGTCAGCAAGTCTCTGGAAAGATTTCCTTGAGAAGAGCACAGATCTACTCCACCGATCTCTCACCTAAGTTATCAGTTTTTCTCATTTCCAACAGGACAGAGTCTAATTCTTTGGCCCGGACTTCCAAGCCCAGTTTCCAGAGGTTAATTATCTCAGTTCAAGTTAAAAGGGTTAATTTAACGTGCTCTGGGTTGATCTCTGACTCCTTGGTGCTCAGCATTTACTCATGCTGATCCCTCCAGCCCTATTCTAGCCTAGGTTATACCCCTTTAAGACTCAGCTCAAATCCTTGGTCTTCCAAATATTTTCCATAACTGTCTTAACCCCGAGAATAAACTCTTTCTTCTCTGATCTCATGCAGAATTCACAACATGGATCAATCACATGGTGCAAAGCCTTGCATCATTCTTCACCTGTTTTCAGCATTCCCAAACGGATTGTTGGCTTTTCAAAAGCAAACACTATGTGTTAAGGCAACTCATATCTCCAGGCCTCAAACATACTGTGTACAACAGACATTTAATGAAGCAGATGACTGAGCTAACAACATGTAAGCCTTAATATGAAAATGAACTAAATTTTTCTTTTTATTTAAAGGGAAGGACTAGTGTGATGTCATAAATTCATTCAAAGAGGAAGATGCATATCTTAGGCTTTAGACAATGTAAACTTAAACTTGAATTTATAAAACGACAGGGCTTAATAAGATTTTGTCTAAACTTCAGGATGTTAACTAAAGCAATAAAGCTACTTTAAACTGAGAATTCAAGATTTGTTTAAAAATATACTACAGTCATACATCTGAGGATTATTAAGCCACATATGAGCCAATCATCCATTACAAAAATTAATGAAAAGTTTTGACATTTTTGCAATTGGCAATGAAGAAATTAGCGAAATAAAAAAATACGCCATAAGATACCTTCAGATAGCGTTCAATATTGTTCATCAAAATATCAATTTCTTCTTTGGACCACATCCCCTGCTTCCATTTGTGTCCTTTAAAAGAAAATAAGTAATGTTATAGAAAATGTTATTCCTTGAGAGAAATAAAATATTATCGATGTGCTTTGTGATTAAATAAATTATGTCAGAATAAAATGTAGCTAATTTACTTTGTCCTGCGTCTGAAATCAGAACGATCCCCAGGTAAAGTTGCTTTTGTAACCTCTGGTTTTTAAGAAGAATACATCTGACTCTACTAAATAAAGACAATGATAAGTAAAAGATTCAAAAAATATTACTTCCTCTCAGTTACATCTCTTATCCTTTCAGCAGTATGGGACTGCTAAAAAGACTCATAAAAATTATAAAAATCAAATCATGCTCAAAACTTTCTGAAAAACTTCTCCAATGAAAATAAATTTTATGGGCAAAAGAAAATGTACAAATGATTCTAGGACAAGGGCAATGTAATAAATTGGATACTAAGTGAGTAATATATTCTTAATAAGTATTTACTGTATAGTAGCTGCAAACAATGTACTTACTTTTACTTCCTTTCCTTACTTCTGAGTGGCATATACACAACCCCCACTTTCTTGTAGCAGCTTCCTAGCAATCCTTATGAGCATAGCAGCACTATAAACACCATGTTACTTTAAGTCTCTAAGCTGCTTATGAGACCAAAGTTAGATCTTTGAAAAGGCTTGGCTTCCTACTCCCATAAGCAATAATCGTATTGTCTTTTAAAAGCCACCAAAGTGCATCTGTTTATAATCTACTTCATATCACAGAAATAATGATCAATTATTGAAAAACAAATGTCGATTTCATGGTCTCATTCAGAGCCCAATTTAATTCAATTAGAAAAGCTCAATTACTCTAAGTACTCAATCACCATTATGAAGGTCTAACTCCGAATCCTGATGACTAGGAGCTCTTCTGACCTCCATTTTTTCCAACAGACACTAAAATTCACAGTATATCTTACCTTTGTTAGTCAGAGAATCCTTATCTTCTTTAGTTGTAAACCATGCTTGGCTAACAGCTGAAACTTCCTCATTACCCAAGGGAGATATTTCATCTAGTTGCTCGTTCTGTAGAATCTTGAAAAGGTAAAAGTAAAAAAAGTAGCAGCTTGATTTAATACCCAACCTGATGAATCTTTCTTTGTAATGCTAAGCATTATAAAACTCTAATAAAATAATATGGAATTCACTTGTTTTAGATGTAGTAAAAATATATTCAATTTATAGAAAGTTTCTTGCTGTTTTTATTCTGGCAGTACGAAAACAAAATTATCTGCATTAACAAAATATGACCTTCATTTAAGCTGATAACTCTGTACTAGTGGCTTAAATTCTATAGAATATTGGCTAAGATTCCATTAAGTATTTAAATCAATATAGGATATCAAAATCCATTTGTATATTTATATATGTAAAATGAGCTTATACATACAATAAAATGAAAACAGTAGGGTTGAGTGTTATGATTGTTAATGTCCTCACAGGTAGTTTGCTGCCTAAATATACAGTCACCTGTAATGTAATCTCCTGCTAAGTTTAAAAGATTAACAGGATAAGTCAAAACACATTATTGCAAATTCATGGTCTGCTTATCGTTTACTGACAACTTTGTTTAAGCCAACCTCTAGAGCCTATTCCTACCTTATTAATGTACCTTCTCAAAGAACTGTATGGTACTATTTTTTTTTATGATTATTATTGCAACTAAAGCAGTCTTTACTGAGAAATGTGTAGTTAAAAAATAACAGCTTTACTGAAATATAATTCACATACCATAAGATTCACCCTTTAGAGTATAAAATTCAGTCGCTTTTCGTATATTTATGCAACTATCATCCGGTACATTTTCAATTACAGACATACCTAATCTAAGTAAATTCTGCAGGAACGAAGCCACTTCTAAGAGAGTTGGCCTTGGGCTAAAGAGAGCTATAGTGTAAGTGAGGAAGATTTGGCAGCAGGTATGAGCCTATCACAGGTACACCATGATAAGAGGAGAGTCACATGCCTAGTGACCACTCAACTGAGTGCAGTCTCTGGACTGGATCAACTACTAAGCTACGTCACTGGCTGGAGGTAAGCTCTAATGAAGATTGGACTTTTCTTGAATAAGGAGAAACTGATTTTTTAATTTCAAGAGGGACTGAAACCAATCTCACTTGGAAAGAGAGCAGCAGTCAGTGAACAACAAAAGCACAACGAGGAGAAAAGCCATGCTTCTATTATCACTTACTTTATTTTTATATCTGGTGGTAATGAATATATTGTATTTATGAAAATGTTTTTTTTAAATGCATAGGCAAAAAGCTAGAAATTACTGAACAAGTCTGAAACGTTTTGTAACCCAATATTCACGCGTCATACATTTTAGATTTTTTTCCTTTAATGACCAAGAGGACTTTATAAAGCTGAGACTTGAGACAGACCAGACAGGTGATGTCTAAGGCCTCTTGTATTCTGAAGATTGCAATTCTCTAAGATTTGACACAGGAGCTATTCTTCAAGGGTGATACAGAGAGCTACAATAAGACCTTGATACATAAAACACCCACTTTTAAGAAATGTAACGTAGAAAAAGGTCTCCCGAGACGATGATCTCTTATATTAAGCAGTTGCTGAAAAGAATAAAACCACCATTTCCCAAAGTGAGTTTAAATATACAGCAAAGCCCACTCTATGAACCTTAGGAATAAAGCTGTCACGCTGATTAATTGCTATCTTTGGGCAAACACTTACTGCCTTATGGCGCAAATATTCCTGATGAAGAGTTGCAATTATTACTTAAATCATATGTTAAACATGTAAACAGCCATCAAATGAAGCAAATAATTATTAAACCTTACCAATAATATTCAACACTGTCAATTACAAATGAACCAAATGAGTATAGCAGAAGACTTAGGTACCTTAAAGGGTATCTATCTATACCTAGTATATAGATATTAATTAGTTTTTTATAGTATATTACCCCCATTTTTTACTACTATATGCATAACTCCTTTTAAATTACGCAGGCTTTATTTAGGAGGCTGTTGCTTTATAAATGAAGCCTTTATAAGTTGTAGAGTTTCATGTCTATAGTATATACAGGCTTAGAAACCGAAAAATAAATATTTCACCCATTGAATATTTCTTGCAACCACAAAGTATTGTATATATTGGGAAAAATTTTAATTCCTAATTATTTTTCAAGCTAGTCTCATCACTGGAAAGAGACATAATACATTAATTACTGAACTATGTGAAATAGCTACACCTGGCTTGACAAAAAAGGACACAGCAAAAAGCAGACTATTTCTGAACTTTTAACTATGCTGACTTTCACTCACAAGCTAATGTTAGTCTTATTAAACAAATATTAGAAATTATTAAAAGTTTTTCATTTACTAAAATGGTAATAACAAACCAAGAGGCTAATGTTCAATTATACTCATTAACTCTCTGGAAATAACCCAAACAAAAGCACCCTATAACTTGTCTAACTAACATTGCCACTGTTCGGTCTTATAACTAGGTTGTAAACCAAATCGCACATATATATACATATTTATTTTTACTGTGCTGAAAATGGAACGGAAGTGAGACTGCATAGTCTTTGAACCTGAAATGAATTTGACAAGCCCCATTTTGAAGACAAGATGTGCTCTATTGCTTCAGAGGACTTGGAAAAAATTCCTGTCCAAATCACCCACTGAAATCCAAGGGCAGATTATGAGGATCTCCAGCCTGTCTGAAGCACATCAGAGACTCACTTCTCTGGAAATCTGTCATTCTGGAATGAAGTTCCCTATTGCAAAAGGTTCACAATGCACCTACCTGAGATATCCTTAGTCCTTGATGTTACATATCAACCTGTAACTATTATACTTCTTAACTGAAAAAGGGTCATTGTGATGCTTCACATAAGGAAAATAATGGTACGATGTCTCTACTATCTACTTCAAAAATATTTTATTAAATGAAGAGATGAAGCAAAAGGACAATCTAAAAAGAAAGGCACAATCAGCCAGAAATAAATTTATATGTACCACAGATTTTAGCTTCAGGCTATCCAAGAAAGCAATGAATACTTTTGGCAGAAATAACTTATATGAGACAATTAAAGTTCACATAAGAGGAGAAAAGAAAGGCTGATTATTATCCAGCCTCTTAACATATGGTAAAATATATCTAGTCCTACAGGCACCAAAAGGAACTACCATAACTATAACTATTCTAATTAAAAAATCTACTTGAAATGACTAGTTTCCATTCACATTAGAACAGACAACACATGTAGCCTTTCTAAATCAGTCACTACGGATAACTGCTAGGTAAAACTTACCTTAAAAAGCTTTATATCCCAATCAATATCTTATATAACCGGTAAGATAAAATTTAAAGTTATTTAACAGCTCTAGTGAGATCACGCCATGTAGATAAAGAATGCACATGCATCATCTATGTGAACCACTCCACAGGGAATGAATTCTAAAATTCTATCTTTGCTTACAATTCTAAGACTCATGTGTATGGGGACTGGAAGCCTGAATGAAGCAGTAAGTCTTACCTCAATTTTGTGGTTGCTATTTTGTCAGACACAATGTATTCTCATCATTTTATCACCTAAGGTATGTGTAAAGGATAATCCTCTTGTAGCCAGTAAAAAGACTTACTATACCTGGATCTGTGTCACAGTTCCCTCAGTAATCTCATCATCTGCCACCTCTGTGGTTGCGGTCATGGTCACCTCAAAGCTCTGATCATTTTCTGAAACTTCAAGAAAAAGAACAGTTCAACTCCAGAATAATAATGGCAGGTTCTAATTATTTAAAAAAATCCATGGAAAAAATCCATGACCATCTGATTTCCTAACACATTCCCTTCCAATACATGTGTATATATATATTTGCTTAACAAATATTTATTGTGTACCTAACACGTAGTAGGTATTTCTCTGGGTGATAGGAAGACAGCAGTGAGCAAAAGAAACAAAAATTCTGCCTTGATGGGGCTTATTTTTCAGTGGAGAAGACACAAAATGAACACGGTATTATGCTAGACGGTGAAAAGTAGTAAGGAAAAAAATAAACCAAGAAAGGGAATGTGTTGCGGGTGGGACAGCATGTTTTAAATTTTAGATAGGAAGCCAAGAAAAGTAACTTCAGACTTGGAACAAAGTGATAAGGGAGCCAGTCATGCAGGGAGTCAGTCATGCTCTGAGGAGGAGCACCTCATTCAGAAGGAAAACCAAGTGCAAGGCTCTGAGATGGGGGCACGCCTGGACAGTCCATAGGAACAGCAAGGAGGATAGTGTGGCCAGAGCAGAATGAACGAGAACAGTAAGATATTGTGTGGGGACGTGTAAAGACTTTGGCTTTAACTCTCAGATGGGAAACCACTGAAAGAATTTAGAGTAGAGGAGTGATATAATCTGACTTTTATTTTAACAGGATCACTCTGGCTGCTAGGGGAAGAGAGCCTGAAGGGCGATAAGGGCTGGAGTGAGATCAGTTAAGAAGCTAATTCAATAATCTGGATAAGAGATGTCAGTGGCTTGGAATAGAGTGAAGGCAAGTAAGGGTGAGGAGACGCATCTCAAATTGTGGACATATTTTGATGGTAGAGCCAATAGGATTTGCAGATAAACCAAATATGAAAGAAACTGAAAGTCAAGAATGATACTAAAGTTTTTTTTATCTGAGCTACTGGAAGACTGTACTTGCCATTAATGAGATGGGGAAGATTGCAGAAGAAGCAAATTTAAGAATTTAGGAAGTTTCAGGAGCTCAGTTTTAAACTATATTAGTTTGAGGTACCTTCTAAACATCTAGAGTTAAGAGAAGTCTGGACTGGAATAAATCTGGGAGTCATCACCAGAGACAGAATTTAAAACCGTAAGGTCTAGGGAGTAAAAAACAGAAAACAGAAGTAGTTTAAGAACTGAGCTCTGGGGCACTCCACATTTAGAGGTTAGGAGACGTACACAAGGCAGCATAAGAGACTGAGAAGGAATGGACAGAAAGGTAGAAGAAAACTAGAAGAATATGTTCCCTGGGAGCCAAGTGACAAAATGTTTCGGGGAGGAGGGAGCGATAAATACTGTCAAAAACTGTGATAGATCAAGTAAGACCAAGACTAAAAAAAAGTCACCCTTGGATTTACCAACAAGGTCTCTGGAGACCTGGGAAGAACAGTTTTGGTGAGGTGATAGAGGTAAAAGCCTGACTGGAGTGGTTTAAGGAAGAATGTTAGAAGAAGAAATGGAGGCAGTACAGGCAGTTCTTTCAAGGTATTCTGCTCTAAAGGGAAGTAGAGAAATTGGATGGAGCCAAAAGTGGGCTAACGGGACTTTTTATTTTAAAGAAGAAATTAAGGTATGTTTGTAACGCTACTAGGAACGATCCAGTAGACAATGAAAAATTGATGACTGAGAACAGACAGGCAAGAATTGCTGAAATAATGTCCCTGAGTAGGCAAAAAGGATGGGATCTAGTGAATTGAAAGGATGGAGAAAAGACAGAATATATGGACATATTTACATGTGGGTGTGTATTTATGGTAGTGGAAACTTGTAGAAATTATTTTCTGGCTACTTCAATTTTCTCAGTACAGTAGGAACCAAGGTTACCAGTTGAGAGTAAAAAAGGTGGAGGAAGTATTGGAGGTTTCAGGATGTATGAAACAGTCATCTCAGAGTGGGAGAAAGAACACTAGAAAAGTATGGTGTGACTGGCAGGCAACATTACAAGCCCACTTCAAGTTGATGATCATGAACTAAAAGTGAGACCAGTAAGCTTGCTTGTGCTATTTTTCTCTAGCTGTACCGGTACAGACATTAATAGGCAGATAGATTTACCAGGGTTGTGGTTTCACCAAAGAACAATGAACTGAGGGAAGGAAAAAAGGATTTGAAGGTAAATGCAAGACAGTGATTATCACGATTAACCATGAAACTGAAACTGGGTAAGGAGGGAACAAAGGATATAAGTGGAGAAGGAACAATGAAAAAATGGTAAGATCAATGGGTCCCAGTGGGGTAAAGGATTGCAGGAGTTAAAAACTATTAGAGGAAGTCAGCTGGAAAGATAAGAAGTAGCCATAAGAAAACAAAGTGTGAAGTAGATCACAAATGGATTCCAGTTAATAGGGAACAGCAAGGGTCGTAATAGGAGTGATAAATGAGGCAGTGTAGAGAACAAAAGGAATAAGAGACTAAGATATTGCAATAATCATCTAAATGAAAAATAACCAAGAGATATAACTATGAATAGGGAATAGAGTAAATGCGGTAGACGACTGCAAAAAGAACTGGTCAGTAAGTGATCTAGATTGATTAACATGAGAGTTAAGAGGATGTTTAAGGCTCAGACAGATAAATTTTTTTTTTTTTTTTCGCTGAGGAAGACCGGCTCTGAGCTAACATCTATTGCCAATCCTCCTCCTTTTTTTCCCCAAAGCCCCAGTACATAGTTGTATGTCATAGTTGCACATCCTTCTAGTTGCTGTATGTGAGACGTGGCCTCAGCATGGCCGGAGAAGTGGTGCATCGGTGCGTGCCTGGGATCTGAACCCGGGCCACCAGTAGCGAAGTGCGCGCGCTTAACCGCTAAGCCACGGGGCTGGCCCACAGACAAATTTTCTCAGCTTTATAAAGCATGTAAAGAAAACCAGAATATTAAAATTAAATTTAAAAGTTAAATCTTTAGAAACTAATATTCACCTCCAGGAAGTCGAATCCACGAAGGCAAATGACTTGCCCATTCAATCAGTCCCAGACGCTGGTGACTGATATAGGACTTCATGCTTTTATGTGGCTTTTTTTAAATGTAGAAACTTTCCTAAGTTGATTTTATCAACATAATTTTTTACAAATCCAGGGAACATGTAAATATTTCAAGCCTGCTTTTGATAAATTCAGTCTTATAAAAATTAGGCTCCAGAATGCCCTCCATACATGATGATGCTATAACTCAGCCTCAAGCAGCTATTATGTCAACACAGCCATATTATCTTAACCAGTTAAGTGAATGAGAGTGTGAAGGATTCAGTCTAACACCACAAAACAGAACGAAATATCAAGTGTAGTTTGAACCTACGATCATGTTCAAGGCACTCACTTTAACCAAATGAATAAACCAATCATAATTTATATCAAGATAATCACTCAAAAACTCTGGCTTAATAAAATAAATAAGTCCTAGGGATGTAATGTACAGCACGGTGACTATAGTTAACAATACTGTATCATATATTTGAAAGTGGTTAAGAGTACACCTCATCACAAGAAAAACAAATTTTTAACTATGTGTGGTGATGGGTGTTAATTAGATTTATTGTAGTGATCATTTTGCAATACATACATACACCAAATCATTATGTTGTACACCTGAAACTAATATAATGTCACATGTCAATTATATCTGAATAAAAAATAAATTCCAGTTTAGAAAGTGTCCATATAGGATTGCATCTGTACAGATAGGCCAACCAAGTTTTAAAACTGAATCACAATATAATGATAGTCAAATTAGGAAAGAGTTTTAAAAATCATATGAATCATCATTAGGAGAAAAGATCATTTAATTAGAAATACATTATGGTTGTATATGCCACAAATGGAACCAATATTAGCAATACTAACATTAACAGTTTTTCAATGAAGTCTCATAGTAAACTGATATAAAATGGTTTCTTTTTCTTTCAATTTAATAAGCAATTAACTCTAAATAATAGTACGTATCTAACTTGGTGAAGACATGATTTTCCACGATAAAAAACTAGTCTTAGTTTTTCTCCACTGGATGAAGATGTGATTTTGCTTGATGCTGAATGCAAAATAAAAGTTCTCAGATATGGCAAGACTCTCCTTTGCGCAGGGTGCCTCCACCAGCCTTGTGCCCCAACCCCATCGCCATGGACTAAGACATCTACTCCAGCTTTGTGGAGCCACCACAGTTCAACAAGATTTCATATTCTTTGCCAAGCAAATCAGAAATACAATCTAACATTATAGTCAGCGTGTTGTAGTCTTTCGCCAACAGTATTCCACCCAAAATACTATACCTCCCTAGGATCCAGTCTACTGTAAATGATCTTGGAATATAAAACACAGTAAGAAATTTTTTTAGTGAGATAAACTAATCAGGCTTCTACGTAAGGTCCATTTAGCCATATAGCATATGAATAGGCAGTATAGCTTTAGGGTTGAGAGTATGAACTACAAGAACCAGAATGCCTGGGTATGACCTTGGACAAGTTATTACAGCTCTCTGTGCCTTGTTCCCTCATTTGTAAAATAGGGATAATAACAATACCTACTCCAGAGTGTGCTTTCTAAATGAGGGAGAATATGATTCTTGGAGGGGAGGTGGAAAAAAATCTTATTCTCTTTATTAACAAAGCAAGTTCATACATACAGTTATTAAAAAAACCCACACAGTATATTCATGGCATTAAAATTTCATGGGGTAGAGCATTATAAGGAAAAATATGCCTAAAAAGGCTCCTCGGGGCAGGGGAGGCAATCATAAAAAAAAAGTTGAGATGATTAAATTAGACAATATATGTAAAAGCATTTATAGCCATACCTGGCAAATAAATAAGCATTCTTTAAGTATTAGTTAAAAGGAGGTTTTTTGACTAAATGAAGAGAAAAATAAGTCTATCTTGAAATGCCAATTCAATCTCTCGCAAGCTAAAATTTGATTTCAAAAGGGAACTCCGTGGTCTTTTTTTTTAAAAGTTATTTATTTATTTTTTTTTGTGAGGAAGATCAGCCCTGAGCTAACATCCATGCCAATCCTCCTCTTTTTGCTGAGGAAGACTGGCCCTGAGCTAACATCTGGGCCCATCCTCCTCCACTTTATGTGGGACGCCGCCACAGCATGGCCTGACAACTAGTGCGTCAGTACACGCCCAGGATCCGAACCCGGGCCGCCAGCAGCGGAGCGCGCGCACTTAACTGCTACACCATGGGGCCGGCCCCGGAACTCCGCGTTCTTAACACACGATGACTTACGTGGAAGTGCAACAACTGATATGCAAGGAGTAGAATCATCAATACTCTGATCATCCTCAGAAGACAGACAAAGCCTTTTATGCGGAGGTTCAGTACTATCTTCTGAGTCTATTTCATCAGCTTCTAATGAAACAACACAAAACAAAACAAAAACAAACAAAAGAATCTCAAAATCTTCAAACCAATGAGGAAAAAACAAAATCTTCAACAAGTAATGACTGTAAAACCATTTTCCTACTGATTTGCTCAGTTAGCCAAACCCAGTTGAGCAAGTGGGACTCAAAAGGACACTGCCTTCTCTCTGCCTAGTGCAGAACCTCAACTCCTATTCTGATGACAAGGAACTATGAACAAACGTGCCACTTTTTAAACAACACACTTTTGTGCTGTCAACCACCTGGCTTTCCAAATATTTCACATGTAAAGACAAGGGCTGGTTATTTAATTTACTCACAAATATCTACTGAATGCCTACTATGTGCTAAGTGCTGGTAACAGAACAATGAGAGACACTCTGTCAAGGAGCTCACCGTGTATTGGAGAAGATGACTAAACTAACAATTTCAAAATAGTGCAATAAGAGCTATGAAGGTAGAATGAAGAGTCTGTTATACGAGCAGAGTGGAGAGGCATTTAATTTAGACTGGAGGTGAAGGAAAGTTTCCTGGAGAAAGCGTCTTGAACTTGAAAGAGAAACAGAAGCCTAGGGAAAATGATTACTACTGCCAGTGGGAGTAATATGTGCAGTGACACTGAGGTACGAAAAGCCTAAGGTATGTTAGGAAAATAAAAACAGTTGTGAACTGCTGGAACATAGATATATGAAATGTGGCAGGAAGTGAGACTAGAAGGAAAGCTGAGATGATGAGAGGTCAATGTGCCAAATTAAAGAACCTGAATTATATTCTAGAAACCATGGTAAGCTTTAAAAAAAGCTTTTTACACTATATGACCGATGTTACTGGCAGTTTGAAAGATGAATTAGAGGTGGGAGACTGGTTACAAGGCTATTAGAGCTACCCAGGTGACAAATGAGAATCTGAATTAAGAAAGGGGTACTTGAGACAGAGAAGAAGGAATGGATTCAAGAAACATAATACTATCAATAAGTCTTCATGACAGAATGAATGTGGAAGATGAGAGAAGGATTTATTCCTATCCACATTTATGATCTGGGATCCAAGTAATGAAATTGACTGAAAAAGGAAAAAAGAGAACTAGGTTTGGGAATTTTGTGAAAGAATTCATGTGAAATTTAAGGTGCCTATGAGAAACACAGAGAATTCGGAATAAACACAGAAGTTTAAATGATTTTAATAGGTAGGTAGTAGTTAAAACCACAAGTTTGAATGAAATAACCCAGGGATTAAATACTGTGTGAAAACAGAAGACAGAACCTAGGATGAGCAAAGATGAATTTGAAAGCAAAATAAATAATACAAATAAAGAAAAGGTAGAGAAGTAACAACAAAATCACAAGCCTCAAGTCTGTTGAAACAATTCATTACAGATGATCATATTAAATCTCATTCACATAGTCACGTAAAATTCTCTAACACAGGTTCTACCACAAAAATGTTCATCTATTCACACTGGCAGGACTACTACTACATTTTCTAACGTACTACATATACTGTTGGCACCAAATGGTATCGAAGAAGTGTTATAGTTAATCCATCATCATCTTTGCAAGTTTAACAGATTTTACTTATAAAATAACTACAAGATTCATAAAGGTTAAAATTTATGGTAAAGTAAAAAATATACAAAGGTATATATATAAAAATAAAAATATAAATGAAGATTAATCCATGATCCAAAGAAATAACCTCCTTTTCTATTGTCCTAGCCTAAACTGTTTATCTGGATAATAGGGATCAAAGGTGACATGAAACCCAGAAAACCAAAAAGATTCACAATTATTTGTCAGCAAGTTCTCCTACCATTCTGAGGGCAGTGAAGAATGAGGTTCCCGTCTGTGTCCCGAGTCAAAGTCACGGAGTTCACAGTTTCTACTGTTACTGTGTCAGAATCCTCTTCAACTGTGCTCATACTCAAATCTGCACAAGAACAGATTTCAGATTAGGATTTAAAAAATTATTGCCAAATATGAACATAAAGTTCATACCCTCCCTCCCTCCCTCAAAACACCCACAATTTGTATCTGCCTACAGTGTTCTTTATGTAAAACTGCAATGACAGTTCAGATTTCAAAAATTGTTTTTCAAAAGTTTATACTCATTATTTAGAAATAGATGTAATAATCTGTAAGAATCTGACTGCTGTGATTAATCAAAAACCTACAGCATTTACTTTTTAAAAAGAGTTCTTTTTACCACATCCAGTAAAAGAGAATCTGTTCCAAGTTGTCTGTCATATCAGCAAAACTGTCACTACATTTTAGTTATTTTTTATTGGCAGCTTTGTGATATATTCAAATGGGTGTTTAACTTATGATTTTTTAGCAGAAGATTCATCAAAACTTTTATTTTAAGAATTACTTCTCCAAAAACACTTTTTACAAGTATTTAAGCTCTATCATTACCTGAAAAATAGCTCTATTATTATCTGAAAAACATCCTCTTGCTGTTTTTTTCATAACATTAAACAAGTGCATATATCCATCATTCACCAAATTGCTATTCTAGTAAATATGGAGCTAGGCCTTATTTTGAAACAGAGAACTGTTTTTGTTTCAAGTACCTTTACCTGCTATTTTACACATATATTATTCTCCTCTTGCTCAGAATGAATGATCAGAGTCTTAGAATACAGTATCTTATGGCTGTAAGGAGGAAATGTATTGAATTATAATCATTGGCCTGGTTGAAGTCTTTAGGCTTACCTTATAATGTTCAATGAAACTCTTGCCTCAATACTCAATTTTGGTCTTGTCCATATACTTTTTACCAACTAAATAATACAGAGGACATAAGCCTTGATGTGTATTAATCACTCAATATTTTAGGCTCCTATACACAAGCTATTAGCCTGTTCATATATTTACCATTTACACAAATGCATTTTCCTTTGGCAGAAAAACTTAAGATCTATTAACATTTACATGGTGAAGATCCAGTGATTCATTCACGTTTCACTATACAAATTACTGTTCTAAAAGGACATCATTCACTTTACAACGGTAAAGATGCCATTTCCAAATTAAAGACAAATGGAAATCATGATCTAGTTATGACTAAAATTTGGAAATCATGAGGTGAGGTCTTTGGAACAAAGGCAGGCTTACCTAGAAAACAGATGGATCAGCTATAGCCCTTCCCACAGAATCAAGTCGCCTTCCCTTAGCCACCAGCATCACTTTCATTTTATCCAGATTGTTTCTCCCCCATGTTCCTACCCCTGCAACACTGAAAAAAAATTACTGCATTATACAATAAGGCTTAATAAGAACAAACAATTGTGTGCTAGCAATATGCTGATGTCACTCTAGCCTTAAGCCTCTATGATGTCTCAACTAGAAGAGGAATGACAAAACCAGAATTCTCCTTTAAGTATACCTTTTGGAAATCAGCCTCTAAAAATATTCTTCAATGAAGGGCAGAAATGACGAGATCCTATACCCAATATGTTAGTTTATATGCAGTTTCTCAACCCAAGTTGTTCCTCCATCAGGCAGTTAAATATTCTTAGAAAAAATAGGTTGAATTATGCTAGTGGTTCCATGAACTTTAGACGTAGGTATATGTAACAGGATCCAGGGTATACATCAACTAATAAAGTACCATAAATATTACCAGTAACTATATTTTTTCTTTACAATAATTAACATCTCTCTTTATATATAATATCATATTTCATCTTAAAGCATTAAAAATTATATAATATCTGTGAACAACTCGGCCTAGGAATCTGTGGGGAAAAGAATCCTAAACAATCAGGCCAGAAAAGGTAAATTACAAGCAAGCTTTTGCACAATGTGAAACTTATAAACCCTAAAATGACTGATTTTTAAAGGCTTCTTTCAATAGGCTTCTCATCTTCACCCCACAGGGTCAACCAAAATTTAAAAAGCACAGTAGGATTTGAGGTTCAAGGAGATGTTTCAGCAAAAATTAAGGATTAAAAAATCCCAATTTTTGCAGTATTCTAATTAGAACTCCTCTCCAGGATGGTTATTTGAGAACTGCTATCCATAAGTCAGTCTGCAGTAAAAAAGGTACAGATCCTGTACCTCTAATCAGCTATTAGATTTCATGTTGTTCTCATTTAAGAATCCACTAATTTTTTTTAAAAAGCTGGTTTGTAAGTAATATCTACTGACTGCAGAAAATGGAGAAATGAAATGTTAAAAAAAAAAAAAAAAGTTAAAATCATCCATAAACTTACACAAGTCAGAGTTTACTCTCTTTGGGGGTGGGGAGGTGTGCATCTACAGTATACAAGCAATTTTATATCCTGCTTTTTAGAGTTCATTCATATTGAAAAGTGTGAAGAAAACTAAGGTATTTAACTGAAGTTTTCTGTACCATTTAAAACTTACACTGTATAAAAAACATGACATTATTTAACAATCTATCACTGGATGTTTATGCTGTTCCCAATTTTTCACTTCCTTAAAACATACTGAAACATTTATATGCTCTATTTCCTTAAACAACATTAGTGAAAATTACTAGATCAAATATGACAAAATGAACTCGTTAAGTCACACTGTAATCTATTTTTCAGAAAAGTTGTACAAATTTATATCCCAACCATTGAGGTGTAAACTGTTCTCCTGGTAACCTTGCCAGTAATTTTATTTAGAAAGAAACCACAAAGTAAAAAACAGCATAACTGCTCATTTGATGCCTGCAACATTGTACTGGTTTAGCTTTTTTTGTGTGTGTGAGGAAGATCAGCCCTGAGCTAACATCCATGCCAATCCTCCTCTTTTTGCTGAGGAAAACTGGCCCTGAGCTAACATCCATGCCCATCTTCCTGCACTTTATATGGGATGCCGGCACAGCATGGCCTGACAAGTGGTGCATCGGTGCGCGCCCAGGATCCCAACTTGGGCTACCAGCAGTGCAGCGAGCGCACTTAACCGCTACGCCCCAGTGCCGGCCCTCTGGTTTAGCATTTTAATGAATGTCATCTCAGGACTCAACTTAATCTCAAACTTTGGGAAAAAGAAATAATAAAGGTGGATTTGAGAAGATACGGTAAGGAAAAAGAAAAAGGAGTATGAAATAGCTAGATGAAAGAATTTCATTCTTGAAACCTGTATTGGTTAGAGGTGATCCCTTGCAGTGTACTAGCTTTAATCAGGAATCTGGGTTCATTTTTTCAAGTTCAGCAACTGGTTAGAGATTAGTTAAGTGGTTCTATGCTGCTTTGCAAATTAACAAGCATTATTTGTTCAGTCAACAAACATACATCACATGCCTACTATGTGTTAGGCACTACTACTGTCTAGGCACTGAGGATATAGTGGCCACTTTTTTTACCCCGAGAGATATGCTCTCCACTCACTTTCCTGGGGTTCCCCCCCCAACCCAGAGTTAGAGCTACATGGCAGTATGCTTATTAGTATTTAAGAAAATCACCTGGTTTTCTTTTTACTTTTAACAGGTCACACATTTTCATGGTTCAAAATTCAAAAGGTAAAGGTGGTTAGCATACAGTGAAGTGTACTTCCCACTCCAATTCCAGAGTCACTCAGTTTTCCTCCCTGGAGGTGAACAATGTTATGAGAATTTCTCACGCCTCCTTCCAGCTATTTTATGCATATATAAGTGCCAATACATCCCTTCCTGCCACATACACTCTTTTTACAGAAACAGTATCATACTACAAACACCGAACTTTACCTTAATGGCTACTTGATACTGCCTCGACAGTAAGATGAAGACACCACTACAAGTATGTGCCTGCAAGCCAGCCAACTGATTAATAACAGCAAAGTCCCTAAGACAGCACCTGATGTGGCCTGTTGGAAGCTAAAAAAAGGCAGCCAGTATGGCAGAGGCTTTCGAGCAAGAGGGAGAGTAGCTGAATTTAAGGTTGGAGATAAAGATAGGGGCAGATCTCACAAGGCCTTACAAATCCTTGGAGGCTTTAAGTTGAGGAATATAATTCACATTTTTAAAATATTACTTAGACTGCAGTATGGAGAATGGATAAGGCAGTAAGTTATGAAGACAAGCTGTTGTCCAAGAGATGACTGTCGTTTGGAATGGGTGGCAGAAATAAAAGAAAGGAGGCTCAGAGAGGATATACTTTGAAGGCAATGTTGGCATGATTTGCTGAATGAAGAGATGATGGAGATTAAGAGAAGGGGAACTATCTCAAGTTAATTCCTAGGCTTTTGGCTTGAACAGCTAATTGAGTTATGGGGCACTAAAATGTATTTTATTAAATATTATTACTATTAATGTCACTAATTAACAATAAGACATCCAAATGAAGATGTCAAGTTGACAGCTGGAATTCAACAGGCAAGGATTAGACCTATAAAATTGAGTTAGTAGCATGCAAATTGTGTTTAAGATCATCTACAGAGGTTAGAGAAGACTGCCTAGATTCTCGTTCTGGAACACTCTGTAGTAGCTGGAAGATAAGCAACACATAGACAAGCAAAGGAGACTGAGAAAGACCAGCCAGTGATTGGCGGAGGAAAACTCACAGGTGTTAACTAAGAGACACAAGAGTGTTTTTCAAGGAGCATTATATAATCAACTGTGTTAAATAATGCTGAGATGATAAGATGATGTAGAAGTGACTATCTGATTTGGCAACATGGAGAACACTGGTGACCTTAATGAGTAGTTTTAGGAGAGTAGTTGGGTCAGAAGCCCTACTGGAATAGAGAACTGGAAGTAGGAAACACAATACAAACAACAGGTCTTTTACGAGGTTTAGCTTTCAAGGTAAGTAGACTGAGAGGATACTAGGTAGCCACAGTAGGGTCAAGACAGCTGTTATTTAGAAGAGCACATGTACAGTCATGCATCACTTAACGATGGGGGTGCATTTTGAGAAATGCATTGTTAGGTATTTTGTCGTGCAAACAAACCTAGATGATATAGCCTACTACACACCTAAGCTACGTGGTACTAATCTTATGGGACCACCATCGTATATGTGGTCCACTGTTGACTAAAACATTATGCAGCAGATGACTGTATTCTGATATGACTATTCGAGTGACTGAGAAAGTGTTGGTGAATAAATTAATTTACGATTGTAAGGTACAAAGTTGAGTATTTTACTGCCTTGTATTCTAATTCATTATACAAGAAAATATGCTTAACTTCTGGACCCATTCCCCATTTGGTTTATCAGGGAAATATATCACAAGATCTCCAGTTCTACCATCAACTATTTGGTCCTCTCTGGGACAAATAAATACACACCATCAGTACATTCAGATATTCCCTTCTTTCTCTGTAATAGATTATACCATATGTACAATTTTCACATTAACTAGAAATGAGAAGATAAGAGAGGGAAAAAAATTCTACGTTAAGTTTAACTGGTAAAATGGCATTTTGTCATGTTTCCAGCATTTGGTGGATATCTTAAACAGCAACAATACCCTAATAAAATTAAGATGACCTGAAATGTGGTACAAAACATTTATAATGGAGTATGTACACACATACATAATGTATACATTTTATATATATATACAACATATAATGGAGTATGAGTACTTATATTTAAATGAGAAATATATTTATTTTCATTTATAGCTCCCAATTAACAAGATGATCCTATGTAATGTAGAACAAAAAGAACTTCTGGATCTGGTTACTTAACACAGAATTTAATTAAAGAAATGAGTCCTTTATCCTACTCCATTCCAGTACTGATGTTAAATTTTTGTGCAATGGATTATTTTAGACTGGTATGTCCATCAATTGAGTCTACATAACTGTCCTGATTGATGGGACATTGAAAGATGGGAAGAGACTACATGGTGTAAAAAACATTCAGTATTATAAGATACTTTTAGAAGGGGAAATCAAGCAAGCTACAGAACATAGAGCACCAGAATTTTATTGGATTAAAGATTGAGAAAACACTAGCTGAGAGGCAAAGTTGCTGGCATAATTCAACTAATAGGCAGCAAGGACACATTTAGTTTTCAGATATCTTTTTTAGTGACCCCATATATTATAATAAGAAAATTACACTCCTCTGTAACTTTTGTGATCTTCCAAGTCTTTTGTCCATGTATTAACATACCTATTTTTTGTTTTTACAATATTGAGATCATACTGTCACATCTTTTATAACACTTTTTTTTTGCACTTACTTTATCAGGAGCATTTTCCAATATTACTACTTGTTTTTCTGCATTTTTTTTTAAGTTTTTATTTTTTTGGTGAGGAAGATTAGCCCTCAGCTAACATCTGTGCCCATCTTCCTCTATTTTGTATGTGGGACGCTGCCAGAGCATGGGTTGATGAGCAGTGTGTGAGTCCATGCCCAGGATTTGAACCTGCGAACCCCAGGCCGCCAAAACGGAGTGCGCGAACTTAACCACTACACCACCGGGACAGCCCCTCTACAGCATTTGTAATGGGTTCATAGTATCTAAATTTATCGAACCATTAACCTATTACTGAACATTTTTGATTTTGAGGTCTTGCTATTATCAAGACCATACCTATCACTGCACATAACTAGTGCCTTAGGAAATGCTTATAAGAGGTTTTGCTTAGTAATGTATACTAAAGAATTTGAAAGACGTGTTTTAAGATTTTTTTTTTTTTTTTTTTTTGTGAGGGAGATCAGCCCTGAGCTAACATCCACGCTAATCCTCCTCTTTTTGCTGAGGAAGACTGGCTCTGAGCTAACATCTATTGCCAATCCTCCTCCTTTTTTTCCCCAAAGCCCCAGTAGATAGTTGTATGTCATAGTTGCACATCCTTCTAGTTGCTGTATGTGGGACACGGCCTCAGCATGGCCGGAGAAGCCGTGCGGCGGTGCGCGCCCGGGATCCGAACCCGGGCCGCCAGTAGCGGAACACGCGCACTTAACTGCTAAGCCACCGGGCCGGCCCTTAAGATATATATATATATTTTTAGGTTTTATTTATTTATTTTTTTCCCCCAAAGCCCCAGTAGATAGTTGTATGTCACAGCTGCACATCCTTCTAGTTGCTGTATGTGGGACGCGGTCTCAGCATAGCCGGAGAAGTGGTGTGCCGGTGCGCACCCGGGATCCGAACCCGGGCCGCCAGCAGCGGAGCGCGAGCACTTAACCGCTAAGCCACGGGGCCGGCCCTCTTAAGATATTTTTAATTTGAAAGAAACTTTGCTAAACAGAGAGCAGAAGAGCTAACAAATGTCTACATCCTGAGCATAGATATGTAGAGGGATGTCAGAAAACAGACAAAGCAACAGAATAACATCTTGGATACCGATTTTACTCAAGACAGGAATGAGAACACTTCGCACTTAGAGGTTGAATGCTTTGGACTATGGACCCAGGCCACTGGGGATCTGCTCTTCCGTATACTTTGTGAAAAAGTTTGAGAAGTGGAGCTGTAAATGAACATAAAGCACATTGAATTAAGGTACCTAATTAATGTTGCTTACATCTTGGTTTTATGGTGGTAAAATATGACTATCCTACACCATAAAACGTCAATAAAGATGTTAATTAAGTTTATTATAATAGGCTTTAATTGCTTAAGATGTTGATTTCAATTATGAACTACTGAAAACAATGTCATTATTAAAGAGAATTACTTGGTAGTATGGATCATTTCTAGGTGCAGCATTTCATACGTGGTTTGGCAATAAATTTACAATGCTTTTTTTTTTGTGTGAGGAAGATCAGCCCTGAGCTAACATCCGTGTGAATCTTTTTTTTTTTTGCTGAGGAAGACCGGCTCTGAGCTAACATCTATCGCCAATCCTCCTCTTTTTTCCCCAAAGCCCCAGTAGATAGTTGTATGTCATAGTTGCACATCCTTCTAGTTGCTGTATGTGGGACGCGGCCTCAGGATGGCCGGACAAGCGGTACGTCGGTGCACGTCCGGGATCCAAACCCGGGCCGCCAATAGTTGGGGGGGTGCACTTAACCACTAAGCCACGGGGCAAGCCCCCAAAACGCTTATTAAAAAGCAAAAATATTGGGTGCCGGCCTTGTGGCCAAGTGGTTCAAGTTCGTGTGCTCCCCTTCAGTGGCCTGGGTTCGCGGTTTCAGATCCCAAGTGCAGACCTACTCCACTCATCAGAAACGCTATGGAGGCATCCCACATACAAAGTAGAGGAAGACTGGCACAGATGTTGGCTAACCTTCTCATGCAAAAAAAAAAAAAAGAGGGGGACTGGCAACGGAGTTTTAGCTCAGGGCGAATCTTCCTCACCAAAAAAAAAAAAGCAAAAATATTATTTTTCACCTCGTGTAATTTGAGAGCTTATAATGTGTATTTGGCTACATTTTAAGATCTCTTCCATTCCACAGTGAGCACTTCATGCAAGGTACCATCAGAATCTCTTTAAAGGGAATACATCAAATGATCACTATAGTCCTCTGATGTACACTGAAGTTGATTTTAAAGCACACTTCAACAGGTACTAAAACACACATGAGCAGTAAATAAACCTAATGAGCATTTCTTTTGCTACATAACACCTGATGGTACATAAAGATTAGCTTTGACAACTCCATGCTTGAAAGAATGGCCTGACAACAGTGTACATAACCAAAATGACAGCTAAAAGAAAAACGTATAAAAAACAAACAAAAAAACCCAAACAAAAAAAACAGTCATTCATAAAGGGCTCTCCAGTGTGCTTTTTCCCGGAATTCTTTCTGGTATTCAGTCTTGAAATGCGACATCTTTCCAAAAACTTGAAAAAGCAGACATGATAAACAGTTTTCTTCTTTTATTTAAATTTATTGTTTACCTTTATGGAATCAAAGCAAAAATAAAACCCAAATAGGCTTCTATTACAAGAATTCTCTTCACAAAAGGAAA